TCACAGTCGAATTTCAGAGTCCCTGGGCACCAACTCAATGGGAATTTGCAAATCTAGAGATCTTACGACTTACACATATTACTCAATCCCAAATAACAAAAACCCCAGATCAATTCCTAAATTTCATGCTAAAAACAAATATAAGATCAATAGACATCACATGCATAGAGCTACAAACCAAATTTACAAATAAGAGTGAATGTAGAGATGTTTAGTGTTCAATGAAGATGATATATGGATATACAAGATACTTAACCTAATCTTTAATTTGGGATTTCGCTTGCGAAGGGTATTTTGGAAAAGTCAATAAAATTTTAAGGTTTAAATAAGTTTTTTAATATTAAATTGATATAATTCAAATTAAAATTTATGTTTTGATATAAATATAAATTTTATAATTTGATTAGGATATAGAAGCAATTTGATTTTTACAAATATCAATATAAGGATATAGAAGTAATTTTGATAAGGATAAATATAAAATTTATTAATTTGATAAGGATATAGAAGTAATTTTGATAAGGATAAATATAAAATTTAATAATTTGATAAGGATATACAAGTAACTTTGATATAGAAGTAATTTTGGATAAAAGTAATTTTGATTTTTATAAGGATGCAGAAATAATATTTGAAGTATAAAAGGATATGAATGAAATTTTATATAATTATAAAAAAAATAATAATAAAAAATAAAAAATAAATAAAAAAGATATAAAAGTGTTTTTATATGCATGAGGGACCAACACTTTTAATTTCTTCATAACACAAATACAAAATCTATCAACATTGCAAATATTTGACCAAGTATCATAATAATCTAAGTATGTACCTAACACGTGGACGAAAACTATAATTCACTCAAATATAAAACATAAGGCTTTCAATAATGGAATTGACATTTTGAATTTCCTTATAAATAACTTAAGCAATTATTAACCTTGAACAAAAGAAATTATTATATCTTGATATGTCGCTAACAGGATGACGAATGTGTAATTCAAAATAGAAACAGAAAATGAATGGTACCTAACCGTTTCTGAAATAATAGATAAATAGAATTTAAGGTTTCACACGGTTCTGAATTTCGGATATTCCTCCCTAATAAATGAAAATAATTTTGACACATGTCACTCTCTTATTAACTTGGAGACATGTTATTTTTTGGTATTTTTGAATACATGTATTTTCCATGTGTCATTTTCTCATTGTTTGTCTTTTCTTAATTAACATATCATATTTATATCTCAATTAATAATTACCTTAATTGAAAATAACCATTAAATTACAATATTACAACTCATATACTATTGAATATGTTTCCTTTTAAATTCAAATTTTAAATTTTAAATTTCAAATTTAAATAAATTTTTGTTTAAACCTTCATATTTAATTTTTTTGTTCTATCCAACCCGTATAACATACGGGTCTCACAACTAGTAAGTAAGAAATATGGATCACACATATACATTCTTAAATGTATTTTCTTTTCAATTAAAATTTTAACATTTTTGGTTTGTATAATTTAAGCTGTCGCTTGCGGTTTAAATCCAGCAGGCAATTTTGTTTTATGGTCTCATTCATCATATTCAAAAAAAAAAAAAAAACGGACGAACTCGGCAACCACACTAGTACAAAAATGAGTTATGGTCACACCAAAAAAGCGTGACCATATACCTATAACCACACCTTTTTTTCTCATCGAAAGTGTCACTGAAGGTCGTGTCATTTTAGGCATCATACGGCCACTTTGTGACGGTAACATAAAAATGTGGCTGTAGGGTAGAGATTTTTGTTGTTGTAATCAATTTTTTTTATCCAATATTGTGTCCATAAGCCCTTTCTAGTCACACATTTTATTTATTTTAGTGACCGTATTTCACTGAATGTCTCATGAATGTTTTTAATGTGACGTTTTGTTAATAATTTGTCACACAAAAAATTGTGTATTATGACTATTGACTATCTTTTAGAGATAAACAATTAACCGAAGCATGACCATGTTCATCTAATAGCTACATATTTTTTTTTCACTGTGGCGTTTTGATAATATTTTGTCAAAAAATTTGTTTATTATGATTGTTGTCTATTGTTTAGAGATACAATTAAGTAAAACATGACCAAGAGTATTTTAAAGTCACGTAATTTTCTTTAACTATGGTTATCATATAACTTACAGCCACATACATATCATTTATCGTGATCGTTACTATCATTCAGATGTATACAAAATTGTAAGTGTCACTATTTTATATCTTTTTGACATAGAAAATCAATTAAAATGTGATTGTAATTGATTTATAGACACAAAAATGTATGTACATTAACTTGATGACTACAACAATTTGGTTTCAGTATGACCTATTTTATCAATTGGACACTCAAAAATTGTTACGTGTGACTATTGTTTGTATTATAGTCACATACAACTACTTCAACCATAGTTGTAAATATCTAATAGTCACATGATCTTTTCATAGTTGTGACTATTATAGAACCTATAGTTACATAAAGGTATAAATACGTGACGGATTATTATTATTTTAACACACTAGCTTATGTATATCTAAAACATGACCATAAAATAACTTATACACACTAGCTTATGATAATCATCCGTATTGTTTAGTATTTAACAACACAAATTCATAAATACCCATAAGATTTATTATCCTTTGGACACCAATAGTTTTTCTATGTGATTACTGATTATAATATAGACGTCTCGAACCAATAAAATCATAGCTATCGATGTATTAACATACAATCCATAAAATATAACTAGTCGTATACAAAATACAAATCGAATGTACATATCGCTTATAAGATACGACCAAAAAAATAATCAGTTTAAATAAATAAATAAATAAAAACTAAGTTACTAGTCAATACAAAAATAACAATAAAAATAAAGCATTCAACGGTTCTTGAATCATTCCAACAATACTTGTTTGGCAAATTAGCAAAACCTAAATTAGGATCTGCATCAGGTTAACAAAAAGAATAACATCAAAATTCAATTGTTTAATAAACCAACAAATCTACTTGATAAAGCATAAAAACCAAAAAAAAAAAATACTAATTAACAGCCGTATTGAATTGAAGATTACCGTGAGGATCAACTGCCCATTCATGTTTCCCGTTGATGAGTGACTTGTATAAATCTGATTACCTGATGGTTTGTATGAACTTAACATTTCAAAGAAATAAAATTACTA